GCTTGTGATGGGGTGTGAACCGACAGTCTGTAGAGTTTTCCATCTGGTGTGGGTGAGTGATAGTCTACTTTGATTTTGGTTAAGGTGGTGGATTATCACTTACAGTGTAATCAGTGAGGGGATTCTACAGACTGTTGAGGGTTCAGCCTCCTGATGAGTCCGTGAAACTCCGACAAAACAGTTTGTCACAGCCCCTCGTTTGTTGTCCTCTTCTCCCTCTCTGCCTACGGTTTACCGGGCAGTTCTGTTTGTGACGATATATATATATATATAGATATATATATATAATTTATGACTCGCTGATGGCACTCAGCAGGAAACGATAGGGACGAACAGACCTGAGTTTATAAAATCTACTCACGGATGGGCGCAGGGGCGTGGTCCCACTAGCAAAGAGGATCGGATTGAATGCCTTCCTGCATCTGGACGAGTTTATGGAGATGTGCAGGAAATCGAGATTGAACTGCTTTTCTGCATCTGTGCTTAAAACACATCCAGATTCAGGAGCTCTATCCTATCCTTTTTGCTACTGGGACCTCGGCCCAGCTCGTCAGTTCGTACACCCATGAACATTTGAAATATAGACACGAGTTCGAATCTAATAAGGGCATCGCCACACCACTCACGAAATGTGAAAAAAACAAAAATATGGCTGGTGCATCTGGCCATGTTCAAGCAGTAAGTTCCTTCTCATTTTGCACATTTGGAGAGTGGTGTGGCCCTGCCCTAAGGGCCTCGTTCCACACCACTAGAAAATCCTAACTTTGTAAGGGCGCCCTAACTGGCCGAGGGTGATTAATTTACACTAACTTGTTTTTTCGTTCCACAACACCCTGCACTTACTGGCCCTTACATCTGAGGTGAGGAGGGCGGGTGTCAGATTTTCGGCCTGTCGGCCACGGATTCTCTGGGAAAAGAACAACCCCTCCGTCAAGTACGGCCCACGTAAGTCCCCACCCTCACATTTCTAGTCACCTCGGGGGGCTCCCTAGAGATTTCGCCTCCTTTTGCCTGGGCCGCCCTAAAAAAGTGAGGGCGGACCCTAAAAGCCGACAATGTGGAAACATTCTGCAGTTCTTTTTTTTCATGATTAGGGAGTGGTGGAAAGATGATTTTCTGAGGGTCCTTACATTTTTAGTGGTGTGGAACGAGGCCCTAAGATTGAACTGAGACAAATGGAATAAAGTAATTCTAAAAATCTGCTTGGGGCCGGTCAGTTCCGCTATATCTGGGGCAAGGTCCCACTTGCACGGATTAGGAGATGTCGGCCGTTGATCTCGGCTATCTACGGTCTCTATCTCTTAATTCGTGCAAGTGGGACCTAGCCCCTGAAGACAAGTGCCCTTATTAAAAAAAAAAAAAAAAAAAAAAAAAAAAAAAACAAGCAAAAAAAAAAAACAACAACATGTGTGGTGTGTGGGAGAGTGTTGGCCATAGCTACTGCTGCTACTCAATGAGGGGTGGGGAACAATGAGAAAGGGAGGCGCAGCTACTGGCAGGTCTCCGTCTTTGTGTTAGCCAGACCCCCACTGGCGGCCCCAACCCTATACCCTAAACATTAGGGGCAAGGGGCAACATGAAATCTCCCCTTCACAGTGAGAGGAAACTATGCTTGCAGGGGTCCCCTGTAGATAGCCTTAGGAGTAGGTAGTGAAAGCAAAAAACAGAAGTTGAGAGAAGAATATGGAAAGAACAAAAAAAATTAAAAATAAAAATTGCACAGGAGCTGGGACCGATTTACGCGTTGTCGGCAGTTTGGTTTTCAACCACGTGCGGCGAGAGGCGACATCCGGCGACCGTTGATCCTTTTGTGTATCTTCGGCGCAAGGCGATAAGGACCGATTTCGTGGAGGTATATCTGTCCGCCGGCCAATACAAGAGTTTCGTTTTCATTTTTTTTGTCCATTTAGGTAGCCACTTTGCGTTGGCGCAAAGCTGCAGTGGGGTGTTTTTGAAGCTTCGCGCCTTGCTATTCTTTTTCGCAGACAAAATTGAGAATATTCAATATTGAGATTTCTGTGGAAGACTGCGAACAGGCCGGCCGGAAGGTCGCATGCAGATGTACTGGGTTGGTGGAAGTGTGGATGCATAGCGTTGGCCTTGTTTTCTTTGCATTTCTGAAAATGAAAAAAAAAGGATTCTTTATATGTTTTTAAAAAAAGAAACGGCCGCCGCACACCGATTTACTCGATGCTAGTGGGTCCCTGCTCCAGGAGTCCTTCGGGGCGTGGTCCCACTAGCAAAGAGGATCGGATCGAATGCCTGAATCTGGACGAGTTTATGGAGATGTGCAGGAAATCGAGATTGAACTGCTTTTCTGCATCTCTGCTTAAAACACATCCAGATTCAGGAGCTCGATCCTATCCTTTTTGCTAGTGGGACCTTGGCCCGGGACATCTGTTAAAATTGGAACGATACAGAGAGAGAAGATTAGCATGGCCCCTGGGGCCTGGGCCCACTAGCGAAGTATTCTACGATGTGTGACGCATAAATCGAGAAATGGGCCAAATTAAAAAAAAAAAAAAAAAAAAAAAAACACTGCACAGGAAAACAGCTCTCGTTGCAGATTTCAGCTATGGCGACTTTTTTTTGGGAAACAACGAAAAAGGACGCATCAGGAGGGAGATCCCACTAGCATTGTATGTGGAGTAGTGTAGAGGGCGTGTGACCCGCCTCCGACGTCGATGGGAATGGGGATCGGTGGTTTTGTTTTTCCTGTATTTTAGCCCTCGAAAATATATGTTTTTTTGGAGCATCCCATTGGGTGGTCTTTCTTTTGTTATGCTTGCCGTGTTCCTCTGGGGGTCCCGAACGTGAGTGAAAATCAGACCCATTTTTTTTGTGTTGCTTTTCACTCACCTTTCACTCACCTTTCACTCACCTCTGGGTTGTGGCCCATGCGTGGAAGAGAGGCCGAAAACAAAATTTTTCGGTGTTTCCCATCATGAGGGAATGTCAGTCCGTGTCAGACCCTCGTCCAAGTTGTCTGTAGTCCCCGCAAATGTTTCACATGGGCAATGCTKTTGTCCTCTTCCTTTGACATGCATGTGCCCCCTTATTTTTTGGGAGGTGTTTGGGAGGGTTCTATCCCCTCACCTACAACAAGCGGTGTATGGAGTTACTCTTGCCCTTGTTCTTTTACGTTTATTTTCCCTATTTCACGTTGCCACCCACCTGTGCCCCACCCGTCCCCCACCCGTCACACTAATCCACATACCTGGCTAGTGGGATCTCCCTCCAGGTTTCAAGTTCGTCAAGGCAAACAAACAAAAAAAAAAAAAAAAACGCGCGCCTATCTTTCAAAAAAAAAAAGAGGAAAGGAGGGGGAAGAAGCGGAGGGGAGGGAAGAGAGGGAGAAAAAAGAAAGATATCACTGCGTGAGTGTTTTTTTTTTTTGTTTTTTTTCCGCCCCCCTTCAATTTGGACCATTTCTCGATTTATGCGTGTCATCCTTGCTTGCGCAGGGGCCATTTGCTAATTTACCCTTCTCTGTATCGTTCCAATTTTAATGGATGTACGTTTGAACTTGGAAACGGTAATTCGCTGGGCAATTTGTTTTCTCTTTTCTTTCCCGGTCTGACACCACGGCCGACCCCTGTAGTTCTGACACACCCGGGCCGAGGTCCCACTAACGAAGAGGATTGGATTGAACGCCTGAATCCGGACGCGTTTGTGCAAACGTGCAGAATATCGAGCTTAAACCGCCTTTACGAATCTCTGCTTGAAACACGTCCAGATTCAGGGGCTTAGTCGAATCCTCTTTGCTAGTGGGACTCGGCCCCGGCCTGACACCACAGCCGTTGGTCCTTCGATTGCTTTCTGGATCTCGGCGCCTGTTTGTTATTTTGGCTAATTCGATACTCAAACGTGACACATCTCAACTTACTTGCCCCTTGTGTTTTTCTGTTCCTTTCAGAAAGGGTTACGGCATGGAGATTTTTTTTTTTTTTTTTTTTTTTTTTTTTAATAACACGATGTGCCACAGATCAGATATGAAACTGATCAGAAAAGAAACTACACTTGATCTTAGCCCAAAGGCCGAGAAAAGTATCGGCCTTGAGATTTCGTTTTGAGCTGAAAGAACGTTTCGACTTTCGTTTAAAAAAAAAAAAAAAAAAAAAAAAGAGAGAGAGTTTACTTCGGTTGTCCGAGAGTGGTTGTGTGCTTGTAATGGAAAAAAAAAGTGCTCTTTGGTACACCCCTGAGGACTCATAATTCGCCGAGTTATCATTGAGAGCGACGATGTCTCATACTTAGGTAATGTGCACCCTCCTTTTGTTCTGCTAATGATAACTACCTTTTCCTTGTATAAAAAAAAAAAAAAAAAAATCTGCACCCGGGGCTAGGTCCCATTTACACGAATTAAGCGATATTGACCGTCGATCGCAAAGATCAACGGCCAGATTCTCGTAATCCGTGCAAGTGGGACCTTGCCCCCGACAATTATCTTACTCATGAGGTATCGTCGCTGAGCGGACCGGCACCCGGTCGGTCATTCATAAATTTATCCAACGGTTACTTCCATCTGGATTCGAACTCAGGTCTGTATTTCAACAGTCCATTAGGTGTTTGTACCAACTGAGCATGGCGACTTTTTGGGGGCCTACAGCAGTGCTTTTTGCAGCGTAATCTGGTCTTCTCCAAACTCAAAAAATTCCGCTACGAAAGTCCCACTATATAGCGGGACCACAAGGCCGCCTGGAGACTTGCGCAGGCTTGCTCGTACCCACGACCTGCATCCTACCGATCGTTCTCTCAACGCCCTCTGCAGCGAAAACTCAACAAAAACTCAACAAAAACTCAACAAAAACTCAACGAAAACTCAACGAAAACTCAACGAAATGTGGCATCGTTCTCTCAACGCCGTCTGCAACAAAAACTCGACGAAAACTGAACGAAATCTGACATCGTTCTCTCGACGCCCTCTGCGATGAAAACTTCGCGAAAACTTCGCGAAAACTGGACGAAAACTGGACGAAAACTGGACGAAAACTCGATGAAAACTCGATGAAAACTCGACGAATGCTCAAGGCATACTCAACGAAAAACTCAACGAAAAACTCAACGAAAAACTCAACGAAAAACTCAAAAACTCAACGAAATCTGGCATCGTTCTCTCAACGCCCTCTGCAACGAAAACTCGACGAAAACCAACGGGCTTAGCTCCCTGTCGGTACACTGTCACCCACAAAATGTTGCAGACCTGAGTTCAAATCCAGATGGGACCACTGCAGATGAACAAAAAAATCCTGAATTACCTACGGCCGGTCCGTTTCACGGTGACATGTCATGGCTGTCGCCCATTTTGAAAGAAACTTCAACGAAAACTCAACGAAAACTCAACGAAACTCACATCGCTTGCATCTGAATCTGTCCTTATCATTGTGTCCAATTCAACCCCTCCCTGACGAAGCCGTTAACCCTTTTTTTTTTTTTTTTTTTTAAATGAAGCCGTTACCCTACTCCATCATATTGTCTCCAATTCAACCCCCCTGCTTTTTGAAAGACAACTGAACGAAAACTCGACGAAAACTCGACGAAAACTCACATCGCTTGCATCTGAATCTGTCCGTATCATCGTGTCCAATCCAACCCCTCGCTGACCAAACCAGTACCCTCCTCACTCCTGTCCTGATGGCGCGACCTCATTCATGTGTCCATACAGCCACCATCCTAAGGGCATACTCACATTACAACTTTTTCAAACTCACCTCTGGACGTGATATCAGTCAGATGCATCCAGGCCTCGTTGTAATTGCTGTCAGATACATTTAGGGAAGTGCTAGTGTGAGTATGGCCTAGCTCCACAGCCGTCATCACCAACCACACTCACGTCTAAGTTCTTAACCTGGCCGTAATTGCAGTCCGGTAAATTTCGGCAGTGCGG